AGGACCGTCAGTAGTCTCAGTCAGGCAGCGACCCGGGACCAGTTGTAATCAGACAGCTGACCCGTGATGGCCAGAAGTCAGGGATCAGTGGCCGCTGATCAGCGTATCCAGCCGGAGAGCACGGACCGCCTCCATCCACCGCCCGGCGCCTGGTCAGATAAATCGGCCGATCGAGCTGCTGTAGTCGGGAGCAGGCCGGTCCTATTGTGATCACGATCCAAATCGGGCCGCTGGACACGTCGTTACAGCCTGTTATGACACTGCTCGGGCAGCTCTAATGGTCGGCTCAGAGGGCGACGAACACGCCACTAGCCAGGCGACTGGTCACGAAACTGCCCACCGGAGACCCGGGGTCGGAAGTAGACATTGGACCATGGCAGGCATGGAGAACTTAGGTGAGGCGACGCAAGAGGGATGAAAAGAACGGACCGACTCGAAATAGTCATTTTCACGATGGCCATCTGGTATACATTTGGGGTAGATTAGGTGCACATTTGGCGAGGATTTGGTTCAAATCAGGTTCAGTGTATTTCTTGGTAGCTATCAGCTAGGAGTTGCACTAACTGCTTATATAGTTACTTGCTTTGTCATATCATCAGACATTGTCATCGATTAAAATCGTGAAATAAACTCATTATATGAAGATATTTGTTATCAAAGAAATTAGGTGCAGATTTGGTGAGAATTAAGTGCATTCGCCAGATAGCCCGTCGTGAAAACGGCTAATAGCCGTTTTCACGACGGCCATCTGGTACACATTTGGTGCATATCTGGTACAGATTAGGTGCAGATTTGGTCAAATCAGGTTCAGTGTGTCTCTTAGCAGCTATCAGCTAGGGTTGCACTAATTGCTTATATGCCTGCTTTGTCATCAGAGAGCATCATCGATTAAAACGCTGAAATAAATTCATAAAATGAAGATATTTGCTGTAAAAGAAATTAGGTGCAGATTTGGTCAAATCAGGTGCATTCGCCGGATAGCCCGTCGTGAAAACGGCTAAAACAACGACTAACAGCTACCAAGTCGTCAACTTCTAAGTCGCTGTAGAAACGTTAGATTTTATCACACACCATTGGGTGAAAACGATTATATAAGCCTTCACTATGCAGGAACAATTGGCCACTGTTTCCGATGACCGTCGCTGGTCAGTCCCCTGTCACTTCCCACTACCGGGCCGGGCGATATCCCCTGACCAGAACAACTCCCGGCATTCCTCGCGCCCCCGAAGATATATGTGCATACCGTCCCCTGCGTCGACGGCGACGGCCCCAGCGTCGGCGGCGACGGCGCGCGGCGGAACAGAGGGTGTCTGTCGCCGCGCGCCGTGGGAAACGCGGAAATACCGCTCTTTATTGCAACTGGCGGCGGCATTTAACTGGTCCTAAGCGAGAGTCTGGTCAGCGTCAGCGCCAGCGTCTGGCACGGACACACGTGGGAGAGTGGACATAACGCCGCCTCCCCCGCACCCGCGCCCCTGTCGTAAATAGCGGAGCCCGAGCTGGAAGGAGGAGTGGCGGGAGCATCAGGAGTCGGGATGCCGAGAGGCTTCTCAGTTTCGATACAGCTACTTGCGTACTAGTTACATAAAACAACACGGACATCAAGCGGGCTCAGGGTTTTGTCTTATATACCTACCTACGGAACAGAATGGATCAATGCGAACGAGCGTGCTGCTTCCAGCCACTGTCGTCTACTGGCCGACAATACAAAAATAATTGTAAGGTTCGGACATCAGCTGTGGTGACGTTATACTTCGTATGTAAGCTTTAGTGACGTCATACCGGACATAGGCAGCGGTGTCGTCTCAGAAACCTGGATTGCGGTCGGTGGTCGGCGAGGTCAACTAACGACCCTCCGCCTCCTCCGGCCAGTGTCGGCACGTGACGAGGCGTGATAAACCTTCACCTTCCATTAGTGCACGGCGTACAGAGCGCGGTAGTCGGCCGCCTCTCGGCATTGGGCGCGGCACTAAACACAGAGAGATGTGTGATGAGTATCTGGTGGTGTGTCGTCCGGCCGTATACGGCAAACGACCGCTGCCCCGGGCAGGGCCGATAGGTACCGCGCTGTGATCATAACAACCGCTGTCCGAGCGTAGGACGTCCAGATGCCAGAGCTGTCCTAGAGCCCTAGCCTCTAGCCGGTATCGGTTTTGAAGCACAGAGACCGCCGGCCGTCAGGAGCGACGGCACGGGCGGTGACGGCGGCGAAGGCGCGGAAGTGGTGAGTCAGCTGTGGTCTATAACGAAATGGATGCGTCTATCTGATGTATCGTTACTGCTGCGATATTATCAGCTTTACAGCCAGCTCCGGCAGCGATTAGGCATACGAAGCCAGGCTCAGTTGAAAGATACATTAGAGTTAGATGTATGCATCTCGCAACTTGTCGGTGTATTACAGGTAGGAAAAGATAGCGATAAGCGCACTGACTTCATATGGCGGTAGGTAGGCTCTACCCGGGGTGGTTGCGTTGCGCCGTAAACTAAGATCGGCGCTGTCAGACTTGTCACTTGTCACCTGTCCCGTGCCATCAGAAGGTGATCTGACAGTCGGCGGACGGTGACTCAGAGTCCTGTCACCTGTCCTGTGACATCAGAAGGTGATCTGACAGTCGGCGGACGGTGACTCAGAGTCCTGTCACCTGTCCTGTGACATCAGAAGGTGATCTGACAGTCGGCGGACGGTGACTCAGAGTCCTGTCACCTGTCCTGTGACATCAGAAGGTGATCTGACAGTCGGCGGACGGTGACTCAGAGTCCTGTCACCTGTCCTGTGACATCAGAAGGTGATCTGACAGTCGGCGGACGGTGACTCAGAGTCCTGTCACCTGTCCTGTGACATCAGAAGGTGATCTGACAGTCGGCGGACGGTGACTCAGAGTCCTGTCACCTGTCCTGTGACATCAGAAGGTGATCTGACAGTCGGCGGACGGTGACTCAGAGTCCTGTCACCTGTCCTGTGACATCAGAAGGTGATCTGACAGTCGGCGGACGGTGACTCAGAGTAATGTCACCTGTCCTGTGACATCAGAAGGTGATCTGACAGTGGGCAGACGGTGACTCAGAGTAATGTCACCTGTCCTGTGACACGAGGACAGCCGAGAGACGGCAGAGAATCAAACCCTCAGCCCTTCCGACAGACAAGACCTGTCGATATCCCGCTGACTGCAGGAAACACACGGACCGAGATACGGCCGTCGGATACGGACAGCCTCCCCGCCTCTCCCTGTACGGCGCGCGACGGCCCGTCTCCCTTCAATTAGCCCGGCGGAAGTCGATATACCGGGCGCCCGGCGCGGCGACGGCAAGGGACGGACGGTGCCTCCTTTCAGCGAGTGACGGTACGGTGCCAGTCGGCGCGGGTGGCCCGCCGGGCCGGGGCGGGGGCGGGGGCGGGGGCGGGCCTTGATTGTGTCGGCGTCGCTGTCGTCGTTGCCTGCCAGCCGTCGCGGACACTTTGTTCGCTCCGTGCTACGCGGAACTGGGCGGAAGAGTTGGGACTACAGACAGACCGCGTGTAACCCGCAGAGCACTGAGCCATGATGAAAGAATACCACCGGGCTACAACTTTGTGAAGGATTCTTTCATCCATGACTGAACTTTACCATGGCAGGTCAAATCCGTAGCATGTAGATGTAGCCAGAGCTTGTGATACAGTGTCACAACTGACACAATGCCCGTTTCATACCGTCCTTCGCCCTCCGTCTCATGTGATCCCGTCTGTCTCACCCCGCCAGTGTTCACTGATGTGTTCTTTGTGTTCGTCACCCCGCCGCGCTGTGGGAGGTACTGTTTGTTTGGTTTGTTTGGGGTCGCCAGACCCGACCCCGGGGTACCGGACGGCCCTGCTATGACTGCTGACGTCTCCAGACAGCCTGGCTTCCGGGCAGGAGACGTGTCATCACCCGGGACCTCCTCATGCAACGGCAACAATGAATGACTCCGTGTGATCTTTATGAAACAGCGCTCTTTGTTCATGTTATACGTTTCCTTACGTCACAATCCCTTGCAGAAGGGCCAAGGGTGGCATGAGGTAATGCAAATTTCTTGATGTACTAACGATACCTTTGGCACATACCTGCAGCTCTCGAAGCCGAAATGTCAAATGTCGAGTTTTCATTCTCATTTAGACCGACCAATGAAGGGTTGGCAATGAAGGGCTGGTTGCCAGATAGTGGAATTCCCGACCCGTTCTAACGAGACTTTTTCACTAACGGAACACTTCAGGCACATTTCGCTAGTTTTCGACGACCTGTCGGCTAGTTGCAGTCCAAGCCAGATGCCTTTTTCGTCATCCGACGTGCTGGTCGCTCCTCATGTGTCGGTTGAACATATTTGCCTCTATGAAGGCCGGCAATCCCGGATCGACCTGCTTCCATCGTAGGCGATGTGTGACTACATCCGCCTGAATACTGTAGCAACTTCACCATCGTCATCACCGTCATCACTGCAGTCATAATCACCAGTCATCGTCACCGTTACACCAACACCATCACGGCGTCACCGTATCGTCAGTAGGCGCCGCACAAAGTCTGTGATGCCACCGCCACGGCGGGGACTTCTGGCAGGGGAGACACTCGATATCCTTGTCTTTGGTGCCGGTAGCCGCACCGCCGTAACTGCAAGAAGGCAGTGGCAGGCGAGGGGACGGATCAGTGACTACCGCCTTTGAATAGGAGCACTATTGACATAACCATTAACCAATCTGAGAGGCACGCAGGTTTCGAAAAAATTATCGATTGTTTCAAATCAATGGAGTAGTACGTTTCTTTGCTTGATAAGGCCGGAAGTCGCTTTTGAGCGATGTAGCAAACTGGCTATAAAACGTGGCGCAATGTAATATGGATCATATAGCAGACCGCCAAGTGGCACACGTCATTTCAGCATAGAACCTGGCTCGACCGAGCCCGACTCGCAGACCGATATGCATTGGTGTCCGCGTTCCGCGTACGTCCTCTCTGCTGCTCAGTGTGTGTATGTGTATAAAACAGGCGTCATCTATCTCTCTGTCTCTGTATTTATTCACACGTACGCACTTAGAGTGAGACACGTCATCGACCGAGACAGGGGCCGGGGGCCGGCGTCACAGGCCGAGTTCCCATCCAGCCGGTACGCTCATGGCTTCGTCACGGAAGCATCACAATCGCTCTGAGAAATCAGCACTACTATCGGCCAATTTCGGCGACCAGCATTTCCGATCGTTTCCGCCAACAGCGGGCCATAAACCTACCGCTTCCGGCAGACAGTGCGTCACATAGCTTACGCAGTGCTCTTAAACTCCCATTTACTACCTCAGCTAACGGTTATTTAAACTCTGCAAAGACACAAACACGAGCACACACAGCCGCGCACAAGGCGCAGCAAACAACGCGAACGGCTCCAACATCACATAACGCCGACATCGGATGATCGGGAACGGTGCGAGGAATAATACCAGGTGTCGGTAACGATGACTCACGGCCACGCACGGACTGAAATCGTGCACAGCGGTAGAACAGTGGGGGAGTTGCACATAGAATCAGTGACGGTGGATCTACAGGGCGTAGGGCCTGAAGAGGTCGCCGTGCGGCCTGACCCGCGGTCGGCACAGGTCAACTGGCGAGGTCACCGGCCGACGGACGGCCGGGGCGGGGGCGGGGGCGGGGGCGGGGGCGGGGGCGGGGACGGGGGCGGCCGGCAGCGGCACCGGCTGCAGCGGCGTCACCACACCGGCACACTGCAGCTGGTACATGTACGACTGCATCACGTGGCTCAGGTAGTGCATCTGGCTCTCGCTCTGCTGGCGTTTCTCCTTCATGCGCCGGTTCTGGAACCAGACCTTGACGGTGGCCTCTGCCAGTCCGAGCCGCTGGCTGAGCTGGCGGCGCTGCGGCGTGCTCAGGTACCGGTTGGCGGCGTACTCTGTCTCCAGGGCGGCCATTTGACCGGCCGAGAACACGGTGCGGGCCGGCCGGCGCGCCGCCGAGCCGCCGCCGCCGCCGCCGGCCGCCGAGCCCGAGTCGCTGCCGCTGCCCGAGTCGTCGCCGGAGAGTCGCCGGGTGGCGGCAGACGGCTCGGCAGAGTTCGAGGCGGCCGGAGACACTGGCGGGGGAGACGGCGAGCCGTTGACGGGCACCCGGGGCTCTGCAGATAAGAGAGAGCCAGGTTAAGTCAGGTCGGGATGTGGAGGATGTAAAAGTTTCGCCCGCCAGACAGCTCTTTATACGCTACGGTGTTTTTTATATAGATTTTTCCATTCATAGAATTCAGAACAGCTTACGCCGTCCGATCAAACGAATACGAGACTGCACAGACTCAAAGCACAGGTCTAGCCGTCAGGCTGTTTGGCTTCACATACACAAATATCATCTCCCTACATTTTGATTTATGGCGAAACGAATATTGATTTAAGCTTCCATGCAGGTACTCATGAATTATTGCCGTATCACGCACACAAATCAGCACGTCCTATCAACTGAGCGTGTTTCAATAAACACTCTGCCCACTCTCTCTCTGCTACTTACCGTCAGAGTTGACGCTGTCACACATGGCCTCCATCGACTGGAGCAGCTCCTTACTGCAGAACATGGACTCTTCGGGCGGACCGCGCAGGCGACAACAGACCGCTCGCTTCGAGACTTCCACAGATAATGATCCGATGAGGGCCGCTCGGCGCCTGCCCGAGAGCCCCAACTCCAACAGCCAATGAGAGCGCGGCGCGATCACCGCCGACCAATCAGCGGGCGAGCAGACCGGGAGGCCGCGGACCGGCGGAGACGGGAGGATTATGATTTAGTAATCGAGGTGGAACACGGGGAGGGGATTACAGGTCTACCGGCGGGCGGCGGCACCGGCTTTGGTGGTTATGGCGGCAGAGCAAAGCGCCACCACCCCACGGCCCAAGCTCTGTGCCCGTCTTAGCCAGGATCAGGATCTGTAGGTGACCGAAACGATCGAATAAACCACAATCACCAAGTTAGGTAATTAAAGGGACCATCCCACCTTAACATTAGTTTTGAGTTGAGATAGCCAAGTTTGCGGCCAGGCTCAGAAACCACCATTTATCCTGGTCGCAACCCCCGCAGCTTTATGGTGTTCAAGAAATTTCTTCCCTTTACTTGCAGGGTGGGACCAGCTTAGTCCCTATCTCTTAACCCGCGCACCGACGGGGGTCTGCGCCAACTTAGTACCGACGGGGGGGGGGGGGGGGCGGATGACCGCCCCCCCCCTGAGATCTCGAGAACGAAGCAAGATAGCGACAAGCGGTAAACGGCATCGGATACGCACGGTCAAGATCTACAATTTTTACTAAGGTCATTTTCAGGTCAGGTCAAAGATGACGTCACAGGGGTCGAAAAAGTCAAAATGGCGGCGCTAAATATGGAGAGTTTTTCTCGAATAACTTTCGAATTAGTCAAGATAGGAACAAACTAAGGGCATCATCGTGATCCTCTCGTCAATCCGCATCGAATGATATATATGTTGACCTCGAAAGGTCAAGGTCAAAGGTTGACCTCAGGTCACGTGACCTCGAGGTCATCATGTATATCATTCGATGCGTCTTGACGAGCTGAACACAATGAGACCATCCACGCGTCTGTATCTTGTTCCTGTACGGAGTTATTGGCCAAAAACCTTTGGTGACCTTTGATGACGTCACATGACCTCACAGCTGCCCAACAGCAAAACAGACCTCAAGGTAGTGAAGGTTGATCGTATATGAAGTCATGTATGGTATATGGGGCCATTCCGACCCGTTTTAGTGGTAAAAACAGGGAGTTGATTTTTCCCCCATTGACTTATAATGGGGAGGTCGCGAAATTGACCTGACCTTAGGTCACCGATATCAAAATTCCGAGATATACAAGTTGTAGCTACTAATGACCTAATAACATCCTGCGACTTTCAAAGGCCTCCGACATCTACTGTAGGTCTGGCACGGTGACAAAGTTGCAAAAAAGTGACTTGAGGTTGGGTCATTCAAAGTGACCTGGTGACCTGACCTTGAAAGGTAGGAGGTTCAAACTTGCACACCATGTGTAAAATTGATAAGGGAATAGTCATACCAAATTTCGCGGCGCTACGCGCCGCGGTTTTCCCGCTATTCACGAAAAACCTCAGGGGGGGGCGGATATCCGCCCCCCCCCCCGTCGGTGCGCGGGTTAACCATTAGCGGTTTGTTGATGACGTCAGCAGTCATTTCAACGCCCGCCATTCCTTGAACCCGAGTTTTGCTGACCTTGGGCTCCCTTTTTTATCAACGTGAATTCGTCGTCGGCGCTGAGAAAGCCTATTGCTTTTCATTTTAATTTGAATATTAGAAGATACCCACCACTGGAACTTGGACTGATATTATACCAAGGCCGAAGATGATCAAGCTGCCTGCTATATCTGGAGCTTGGTGTTCAACTTCAACATGGAATGAAAAACAAAATATCAAAGCAAACTGGATATGGTACTGCAAGTTTAAGTCCAAAGAAATTTGAAGAGCTGACAATTGACATTAATTCTTTTCCCGCAAGGTTTCCATAGGAGATCACACCATGAAGAAACATTTTTGATGTTAACAGTTGAAAGGGGATTGATCTTCCAGTTTTGACGAAAGACGCTGCTGACTGTCTTTGGAAAAGGATGTCGGCATGAGGTGCAATTGTGCTTGTGAAGTGGTTATAACTGGTCTTTTCACAGTGTTAAATTAAATGTGCCATTGCAGCCAAGTGTGTTATCATGTAAGGTAAAATCAAAACTACAATGTTGGTTTTACGAGCATTGAGAAGGCTGGTAGGTAACACCTGCCTGTGCTTGTAAATCATGCTGCCAAAGTATTCTAAATTAATTTTATCATACACTTTTGTTGTCCAGAATGGTTGCACTATTGTTTGGTATCATATTATTCCATGTACATATGGTAGTGTTAAGTCCGACCAACATGTTACCAGATTTGAAGCTGTTACGTTACCTAAGTACCTACCTGTTTTTTTACTGGCGTGGTGAATGTCACCTGGATTTTGTTTTGAGGTGCAGACCTAGTAACTCTGACTACATGGGTGTGGCATTCAAACTTTGTGTCTATCGTAGACTGTATTTCTTCACCCTTCAGACATCTCAACCCGCACACCGACCCGTCCTCTCTCTCTCCCGCCCTGCTCTCCACTGCCCGCCCGTCTCTCATTGTCCAGCCGGGCCGCCCGATATACGGGCCGGCGTGTCCCTGCTGCCGCGCACATGTGTGGCACATGGGCCTCCATTTATGACCACTTATGACCCGACGCCGACCCTACGCGACAAGGCTAGAATGAATACAAACTATGTGAACAAACAAGAGAGACACATTCCCCCTGTTCCTAAAGAACACATCTAACTACAATTTAACTAATGGGGGATGGGAGCGCCGAAGAGTTGCGGCGCACGCCTGCAGCGCAAACCCCTTCTTAGCACGTCACTATAGCTATCGATATTGTCTACACTTTCCGCTGGCGCTCTACCTTCGTTCACACGGTCGTTTGACAATCCCTCAGTTTCTGTTTTTACAACTTTCACTGTATGGATCCGCTCCTCTGTTCCGGCACTGCCATCCGCCTCAGCTGCTTCTCGAGGGACCGGCTCGGTCTGCTCGGTCGGCGCGACAGCTGGGGTCAGCTCTGACGGCTCCACCGCCGCCGGCGCCTCAATGGCCAGCTGTCCAGGCACATGGGCGGTCGGAAACGGACAGGCGATCTCCTCTTCCTGCTCATCATCCGTCGAAGCAGCCATTGCGTCGTCACCGTTGTTGGCAAGACGATGACGAATGTTCCGCACGTGCCATGGGACTCCATCCACTTCAATCGTCTGAGCGGATACGACTTTGGTGACAGTGCCCTCCTTTGACACGGCGGTGCACCGATCGCCCCGTTTTCGGACCCACACCGCATCACCGGGCTGATACACACCAGGCTGGCCGGCCGTCTGAGGAGGAGCAGCTGTGTTTCCCTGTGACTGCACGCTGTCACGGAGGCGCGGAAGGAGAGACGACTGAGCGGGCCGAGACTTGTATTGCAACTGTGGTTCTGATTCTGATTGGGGTTCGCCAGTGCCTGTGCGTTATATGCAGGGTGGTTGCACAATGAAGGACCGGTCCGCCGACCCGCCGGGTCGGTGGACGGTGCCGACACGTGGGGAAAGTGACGGCTATTTCTATGTAACAAAGCTTGCACGTGTACTCTCTTTATCATGATATGGAAGAAGGGAATCGGTCCCACATTATCTTCCCTCCCCCAGGGAAGCGCAGGGAACCGAAGCGATCATAACAAAGAGAGGAAACGTTTAGCTGACGGAGAAAGAAATTTCCATATGAGCGTATCACCAAATGGTATGAACAGATAAGTAAGTTTCGTGACAATTACACCTACTACCGGGCGATCCCTCCGCACTCTTGGCGGGGACCGTCCCTGGGCATCTCCATGGCCCTCGGCATCTCTGGCCGAATATCAATACAATATAATTTCAGTGAATTGACCACGATTAACGTATTTGAATGTTCATACCTTTGAGGACAGGCTCTTCTTTACGTTTACTAGTGTCAAAATGACACGGCAAAGTGCAGGCAAAATTTAAACGCACTTGCAATTTCTCCGTGAATTTTGGGGTGAGCAACCACAATGAAGCGCAACAAACGACAGAACACTGACGAAAACGGATAATGAAACAGTACGGTTTTTGAAACACATCGAAGTTAAAACAAATTTCACAGCACAATTTCACTGTCACTTTTTGACGAAAATACAGCAAAAGTTCATAATGGGTGAATATTCTTGATTTTGGGTGTCAATTTGTCTTGAATTTAGCGTTGATATTTTTTTTCTTCTCTTCTCTCCTCCGATCTTGAGTCCTTCAGCGAGGTGGTGTCCATCACTCGATGACGGTGAGTGGGACGGCGCTGGCTGACGAGCCGTGCGCTGTCGGCGGGCTCCGTAGTAGTCCAGGGCAGCTGATGACGTTGCCGCAGGGCAGATGGTATTGCCGGGCAGAGCTACTCACTGGAGACGGTGATGTCGGACGATGACGAGTCCAGGATGGTCAGCTCCCTAGTCGATGACGTGACGTAGGGGCGATACACCGTCACAGAGCACGGACTAACCAGACTGCGATGTCAGTGCAGATGTAGAGGCTGGGGTCCGTGGTGAGGGGCACAAGTCCCCTCGACCGCCGCTGCCACCATTGTCACGGAGGCGCGGAAGGAGAGACGACTGAGCGGGCCGAGACTTGTATTGCAACTGTGGTTCTGATTCTGATTGGGGTTCGCCAGTGCCTGTGCGTTATATGCAGGGTGGTTGCACAATGAAGGACCGGTCCGCCGACCCGCCGGGTCGGTGGACGGTGCCGACACGTGGGGAAAGTGACGGCTATTTCTATGTAACAAAGCTTGCACGTGTACTCTCTTTATCATGATATGGAAGAAGGGAATCGGTCCCACAACGCACAAGTCTCTGCCAGCCTGACGGTAGGCACCATGTATCGGGGCCGTGGTAATATCACGCCCGTCCTTGGGCGTGACATTATATCGGTGCACGGCTTCTGGTACGGTGCATCCCTGACGGGCGGCCATCACTTTGATGGTGCGGTGGTGGCGCTCGATGATGCCATTCCCACCAGGTTCATAGGCCGCGCGATACCTCAGCTCGACGTCCCACCGCACCGCGAACGCCTTCAGCTCGCGACCCTTGAATTCGGTCGCATTATCCATTAGAAGCTCGGCCGGTGCTCCTCGCTCCAAAAACAGAGCC